AATGAAGCGTCCTGGTTCACAGAGAGATGACATGTGGTGTAGCTCTCTCAGTCCACAATGTCACAGCTGCTTACTTAATAATGGATCCCAAAGATCTTTACTTGATGGTTTGCTGCTCTCTCTGACGCGCTGACCCCACTTTGAGAAAAAGAAAAAGGCTTTTTCAAAGAATTTCCCGGCTCGTCTCCAGTGAAGCGCGCCGAGAGCCCCGAAGAGGCTTTTATTGGACACGCGAGCACCTGACCGTCCTCCGTCCGCTGCAGCGGCGCCGCCTCTCCGGGTTCCTCTGCCGGTTTTAGAGGAAAGTTGGTGGTAAACACGCGTTTTACTTATTAATGGGGCTGAGAAAAACCAACGCCACGGATGTCACGGTGCAGCTGCGGGCGTGACGGGGCACAGGTGGGGACGCTAAAGACGACGTCAAAGACAAGAAGTCACAGCGGTGAGCACGGCTCGGGATTGGTGATCATTTAGAGACAACAATTAATGCAATAAACAAGTAAACAAACACATCAGGCGTCATAGGAGGCAGAAGACACGACGTGCTGGGGACACGTGTGGGAAGTGATCGCTGTCCTCCCCCTCCTCCCCCTCCTCCCCCATCAAACGCACCAAGGCTCCCACCAAGCTCTAAAGAGTCCTCAGTGGACGATGAAGGTCAAAAGCTATTAAGATATGCAGATGAGCTGGAGGACTTGAGGAGAGGGAGCAGAAAACTGAAGGTGAAAGAAACAAGCGCCTCTTTGTTTGAGTCCATCAGACCGGTTGGTCGGATGTAGACGTGGACGTAGTTTGTTGGTTAGTACAGCAAAGTCACGCGAGACACCTACATCTTCCACCGCCCTCCCGTTGCTTCGGGACGTATGCAGGGAGACATTTTATTATTATTAACTTCAGAAAAAAGTTTTTTACTTTATTTTTTGCAAAGTCAACATTTCATTTGCATGTTTTTCTCAAATGTATTTACTTTAAGCATGATGTCTCAATGCAGCATCCGACAACTTATAAAAGGACTGGAATCCGTCCTTTGTTCACCAAGTTCATCTTATGTGAGGTTTACCAGTTCTGCAGAATACAGCTGAGCTGCTGGGATCCTGATGAAAAGTGGGCGTCAGAGATGTGAGATGAAATGACAGCCATTGGGTCGGGTTCATCCTGTGGGGAACACGAATGCTTTTCCAATAACGTACAAATGTCTGCTGCTTATCGGGGGGCATGTTGATACTTCACACGGTGGGTGTTGAGGACCGAAGAGCTTGCAGGTGGTATGAATATGAAATCTTTGATGAGGCGCCTTGAGTTGACTTTGAATCATTTCTTTTATGTTACAGGGAAAAGTTTGAAAACGATTGCCCAAGGGAACACATCTCTCTGCTAACTCTCTCTGGAAGTCAAACCAGCAACCTCGCTATCTGGCTGCAGGCCACCTGGAGATCTGTCAGCGAGTGTGGTCCTACATTTGTTTCCTCCAATGAGTTGTCATCCTGGATGTAGTCCAACGGGACCATGAATACTCATCGGCCCTGTGTTAGCATGTTGTTGTGGACATTAGCATAGCCGGCGACACAAACATCGGCGCGAGGCAGCGGATGAATCAGAGGGGGCCCGGAGGGGACAGCGGGTCGGCGTTCATTACCTTCATGACGGGTCACAGGGGACTCAGGAGGCCCGACAGGTTAAAAGAAAAGTGCAGCCAGACGTAGTCGGTCAGAGCGGCTCAATCAAAGGGAGGTTTTTGGTTGCGTCTAGTTTCAGCGTAGGACACAAAAGCATGAAAATCATACGTTTTGTGTTAGTTACTTTCTATGGAATCACATTGCAATGGATTTTAGCTGTGATTTAAACATCAACGGAACATTAGATGCGTTTATAAGTGCAGAGGAGTTACCTGTCAATCACAGTAAGCCCCGCCCTAAAGCGTCCCCTGCTTTATGGTCTGTTTGACTCTAAATGGACGAGAATTCACTAAATGAACATCACACTGTGCTGAAGAAGACTTGAAACTAGCAACTGAGACCATGAACTCATGTTTACAATGTTTACTGAGGGAATAAATCAAGAGAGAAGTAGAGTCATTTCCTCATAGACGTCTATGGGAGCAGAGGAGTCGCCCCCTGCTGGTCACTACAGAGAAGTAGAGTCATTTCCTCATAGACGTCTATGGGAGCAGAGGAGTCGCCCCCTGCTGGTCACTACAGAGAAGTAGAGTCATTTCCTCATAGACGTCTATGGGAGCAGAGGAGTCGCCCCCTGCTGGTCACTACAGAGAAGTAGAGTCATTTCCTCATAGACGTCTATGGGAGCAGAGGAGTCGCCCCCTGCTGGTCACTACAGAGAAGTAGAGTCATTTCCTCATAGACGTCTATGGGAGCAGAGGAGTCGCCCCCTGCTGGTCACTACAGAGAAGTAGAGTCATTTCCTCATAGACGTCTATGGGAGCAGAGGAGTCGCCCCCTGCTGGTCACTACACAGAATGCAGCTTTAACTGATGAAGCTCTAACTAAAGAGGTTTACACACAGATCTGCCCTGTGCTGAACGGACGGAGGCTACGCAGTCAGATGATTACATCTATGGAACAAAAACAGAAAGATGGAGGAAAGGAAAAGTCTCTCCATCATTTAGACGGACTAATGGCACTTAATGGACTCATTGGTCGCTAAGTAGAAAGTCCTTGAGACTCCTTCAGTCTGCAGCCGCACTGAAGAGGTCGATGGCGTCATGCTGCCGTGAGATGCCAGGTGAGATGAGGCTCCGGAAACGCAAATGCGCTCTGAGATAGAGTCCATGCATCTTTCATGGGCTTACACGGCCTCCGCTATGACAATGAGCGCGTATCGCCCCATGTGCTCGGCCGGGCGTACGACCACGGGGACCAATGCAATGCGCACCTCGCTCGCTGGAACCGATCCAGCTCGCCACCGCGGGAGAGATGATGCCCTCGTTATGCAGGAGAGGAGTCATTGTATTACATTGCTGGGAAAGATATACGCATGAATATTGTTTTTGACATTGCTGGATTGCTACGGGATGCTATTCATGCAGAGGGCTCACTCAGCTTCACCGGACCCCACTCAGCCTCACGCAGCCTCAGTCTGTCACAACAATAAAGATTACAATATCATTAAATGTGATAAATACTACAGATATAATACGGTCATTTTTACACTGTAAATGTTATTAAGGGCGGCACGGTGGCGTGGTGGTCAGCACCGTCGCCTCACAGCAAGAAGGTCCTGGGTTCCACTCCGCCCAGCGGCCTTTCTGTGAGGAGTCTGCATGTTCTCCCCGTGTCTGCGTGGGTTCTCTCCGGGTTCTCTGGCTTCCTCCCACAGTCCAGAGACCTGCTCTGGGGATCAGGTTGATTGGTGACTCTAAATAGCCCGTATGTGTGTGAATGGTTGTGTGTCTCTGTGTAGGCCTGTGATGGGGCCTACACATTTTGGCCTCTATAGAGGTCTCTACAGAGACCAAAATACTTCATATACTTGATATATGTGCAGTATTTGAGTAAAGTTACATTCCAGCACTCTGCGTTGCATCATCAGCACCGTAGCTTTGTCTTTTCTAACAGTTCAGCCTGATAACAGAATGAAGGAAGCGCCTTGTGGAGCAGAGGGAGGTTATTAGAGCGAGACGGAGGAGTTGTGTATTCCAGGTGTTTACTGGATGTGTGTGACACAAAGAGAAGGAGATGGAGAAAGATGGAGGCCATCTTTTATTCATCTCTGGGTAAGTGGCATTGAGCTGCAGGACGGAACCATTTCGCCGGGTCAACAGGACGTTCCCCGACACGGCGCACACGTGCACCTTTTCACATCGACGCTCATAAGAATGTTTAGAATTAAAAAGGCTGCTGTGAGTCATGAAGCTCAGCTTGTCTTATTTCTGTTGTTCATTCATTCACATTAAAGGCCGGCTTGAAAAACAATGTTTAAAATGAAACCGCTTTGATTGATTGATAGAAAAAGGAGGTATTTGAAATGATGGTTATTCAAATGATTACTCATGAATAATGACCAGAGATAACTGCTCTATTACAACATGAAAAACTATCTAGAGTTACATATATAAATACATACATGTGCAGTGCACAGGATTTTTATAATGCCAACATTTAATATCCAAAAGAATAATTCTTCTGTCAGCCTGTTGCTGCCCTCTGCTGTCCTATTATCGAGCTCACCGATTTCATCTAAAAACAGAATGATTCAACCTAAAAAGGACTGGCTGGTTATCTCAACATGAAGAATGATCACTCTACCAGTCATCATCACATAGAATCTGCATTTTAAAATTTTCTACGTTTTTGTCCAACATTTATTCATCCAGGAAAGTTTTCCAAAGGCGTCCTGGATGAGCATCGAGTTTCACCCTAAAAACACCAGTAACATACCAACAAATCAGCAAAGCATCAACATCAAAGCTCAAACACATACAAGTAAAAGTCTCAAATTGCATCAACAAGCAAATAAGAAGTGTTCAGTAAGAGGACAAGAACATCCAGTGCTCAAATGATCTTTAACCCTGTTTTTCAAATCTTCAATTCTTATTAAATCAATAAAATGAACCCTAAACAATCGGCAGGGGGCGACTCCTCTGGTCCCTTAGAAGTCCAGGAGAAAAGGACTCTCTTGACTTTTTCCCTCAGTAAACATTCTAAACATGGGTTTATGATCTCAATCGCTTGTCGGGCATTCACTTATAACAATATGGTATTAATATTTTATTTATTTTAGTATTTCGCATTTTTTAGATTTTTATTTTTTTTTAAATAATTTTAATATTTCGGAGGTCGGAATTCTTTTTGTAGATGTATATTCAACTACTAATCTGTCTTTTGTCTGTTTTCAACATCTGGTTACACACCTTTCGATAAAAGCTGCTTTATGCAATTTGTTACTTTGTAGAGTAACAATAACATTATATTAGCATTACCATGCTAATGATCCTGAATGTAACATGCACGCTGATTGAATATTTAAGTGACTCTGACACATAATTAGTTTGAATGTCATTGTATTTAATACATAACAAAGATATATTAAGAGTACATTAAGAATAAAACGTTGAGCAGGTACATTCTTCAGCCTCGTTACAATGTTACGTCTATCCAGCAAACAATTGATCATCCATTGAATCTTGAGCCTCTTCCATCGACCTTTCAGGGACAGGGCGTGGGATCAGGTACGGGCTCACAGGGATCCACCACAACCCGAACTTCTGTCATTTGGACACCTTCGTAGGTCCCAGAGATGGACATCGATTTTGTTTCCCCAATGTTGTAGGTGCGGTTGAGGCGTGCCGTGAAAGGGATGACTGCCCCGTACTTATAGCCCACCATACTGACACCACAGGAGTAGTTTGGTGGGACTTCGCACTCAACAGAAACGGTGTGGGTGGTCGACTCGATGTAGGTCGTCCCCTTGGTGAACTCGTGGGTCGTCTCCTCGCTAAACCCGATAGTTGCGGAATAAATCTCGGGGATTCTAGCTGTGATGCTGGCCTCGACGCCAACTGTGATGGAATAGCTGGTGTCCCACCTGTGCTCCACTTGGTTCATCTTTGAGATCGTTGCTGTCGCTTTCACTGTCTGGCACTGGTAGTTACTGACAGCAGACCTGCGCATGGTCTCCGGAGGATAAGCGATGGGTTTAACCCCTAAAGTGTTATACTTGACCTCAGACAAGTTCTCACTGTATATGTCTTTGCTAATGGTCAGGACCTGGTAGTACCTGTACCAATACTCAGAACCTTCCCAGGGAAGGTAGAAAGCCTGATCTACAACATCCACCTTTCCGAGACCATAGTCGTTCTTCCCAACATACACTTCGTTGGAGCAGGTCTTGACGGAATGCGGCGACACGGAACCGTAAGAGCCATCCTTCCATTCCAACAACTCAAAGCTGTCTTTGTTCACGAGGATCTCAAATGGCCATAAAAAGCTGTTGAACTCTTTCCCTTTGTGGGAGTAGTGGCAGTAAGGATCTACGCCCGGGCTGTAGAAGCCGGCGTTGCACCAGAACTGGCAAACATAGTCGGTCCGCCCAACATATCGGTTGTAGATTGAAACTGCTTCTTTGGGGACGGAGCGGTTAAAGAACTGCCATTCCAGATTGGTTCGATCGATGTTGGCCGATGAGTATCGGTCCAGCTTGGTCTCAATCTCCAGGGGAGTTGGACGGGATTGATTTCTTGATCCGTTAGCGGTGATATTAGGAACCTTTTCCCCCAGACTCGGGTCCAGGAACAGGGCTGTAAACCAGCAGGAAAGAACGTTTAAGTGTTTACTGAATAGCATCCATCCAATTCACATTTTTAAGCCCAAAATTGTAAAACTCCCTCCAAAAACACCTTCACAGGGTGGGAAAAAAAAAAGAAGAAACCAGATAAGGAGTAATGCATCTCCCAGAAGTGTTACGGTATGTCTAAAGACCCCCTAACCCCTAACCCTAAGCCTTTCATGGGGTCGTCGTGGCGCATGGGGTACAGAGGGTGCGCTGGGAACTACAAGGTTGGTGGTTCAAGTCCTGGCTGCCCCATGTCCCATGACGAAGTGTCCCTGAGCAAGACACCTGACCTCTAATTGCTCCCCGGGCAAAGATGTAAAAGCCATGGGTTAAAAATGTAATGTAAGTTGCTTTGGATAAAAGCGTCTGCGAAATGACCTGTAGTGTGATAACCAGTCATGTTTCTTTGTACTCAAATTACCTTTTTAGGATACGATCACGACAACATTTCCACAATATAGACATTTACATATTGTGAAACACACCATTAAAAACACAAAAAGCCCATTGGTCATGGGAGGAGCATTGATACATATGACTTAATTTGGAATTATTTGAGTGTTTTTTCTGATGATATTGAAGTGAATTCCTCTTTTCAAATATGTATTTGTCCCTCCGTATTGTGTCTATTCTCATCCAATGTTAAGCAAAACATAAATGAGGTGATTCTGTTGACCTGATTCAGTGTGCAGAGCCTGCAGGGCCAAAAGCAGCAAAACTGACAGCTTCATCTGCAGATGAAACACAGAACAGAAGCACTGTCACCTGCCACCAAACCAACCGCAACATCCATTTAGTGTTCTGGTGAAAATGCCAGAAACAGTTAAAAGGAGACCGTTAAACACAAAGATAATGCGCACAGAAAGAACAGACTTTGACCGTGTGGAAGTGGAGCATCTGTATCTGGTCCATTCAAAGAAATGTTTTATTTTAAACTGTGTAGAAATGACTGCTTCTTAATTAGGCACGTTTTTTGAATGAATTCACTTCATTACAAGTAACAAATAGTGAACAACAAATGTTTGAAGTGGTTGGAATAAATGGAAAGAACTCACCATCAGCTTATGCAACTGCCTCACTGCTCAATCTAAAACAAATATGTACTCTCTGTTGTTTGGGCTTTGACTTTGACCATTAAATAATAACAGTCTGTACACATGCAACATCCTCTGTCCCCAAACCCTCCCATCGGCACATGAAAACCCCAAAAAGTAAAGTAAAAACCTTTGATACAGGAAAGAAGCAAAGTTGGTTAATGAGGACAGCAATAGTAATGCGATTAATATTTATAATATTAGATGACAGAGATCTGATATTCAACAGACCCCCTTTAATTATCCTATTTTGTTGCACTATTGCATTATTAGTTTTAACATTAATTAAGTTATTTACTATAACTCCTCCCCCGCGACCCGACCCCGGATAAGCGGTTGAAAATGGATGGATGGACTATAACTCCTGGGTTGTTTACCTTTAACTTAGATAACTGTGTCCGTGGGGCAGACAAGGTCTCTATAGGGTTCATTATGCTGAGTGACTGCTCAGATTGAAGCGCAGAGAAGTGTGTAAGACTGCGACTCTGCTCCCTGGTCTGAACTCTGGCTCATGGATCAAGTCCACTAAGAAACTGGGTCAGGTTCTTAGAAAGAAGTTCAGCTCCGTCCAAAGTGGGATGGATGCCGTCCGTCCTAATCAGACCAGGCTCTCCCCAAAACGTCTTCCAGTGATCAACGAAGCCCACATTATTTACTGGGCACCACCTCGACAACCAGCGGCAGAAGTTTGGGAGGGCGCAGAGAAAACTACGGTGTCCGACATTGATATGTGCACAGCAGATTTCAGAGAGTTAAATTGACTCTGTGATATTCAATTTTAACTCTTAGCTAATGTTTATATCGTCCCAATCTTGTCAGTGTTAAATCAACACTCAACGAAGTGTTAACAAGTTGGAAACATTTTTAACCCATGGTTTTCACATTTTAGCCTGGGGAGCAATTAGGGGTTAAGGTGTCTTGCTCAGGGACCCTTTGACATGGGACATGGAGCAGTTGGGGTTTCGAACCACCAACCCTGTGGTTCCCAGCGCACCCTCTCTAGTCCATGCGCCGCAGTACGTAGAGTTAAACCAACACCAAGAAGCGTGACACTGTACAGTTACATTTCCAACCTATCACAGAGTTCATTTAACTCTACTAAGTGTCGACAATTAATCTGATCTTGACACTGGATAATCACTCCAGCTCTTTTGTACAATTGACTCTGTAAGAGTTGAATTGACTTTTTGCAGTGTGATTTCAACTCTGCACTTCAACACTTTTGCGTAAGATTGGAAAACTAACTAAGAATTTTGCCGTGTACACACCGATTCCACATTGACTTTAGTGATGTGCGATTTATTTAAATTTTATGCTTTATTGATGCCAAACTTATTGCTGTAATGTGTGTAAAACTCACGCAGACGGTGGTATACTCTGAGTGGGACGCTCTAGGGCCCGCCCCCGTGTGATGGACAAGTATGAGACACGTGAGGAACACGTCTACACGCACACACGTAATGTAGGACAACATGTAGTGATGACCTGCCGGGAACGTGACCACAATCATAAATGCCCTTAAGAGCTATAAAACTTTGTGGCGCGCTCTGCTTGAGGGCCTTAGATTCTGCTGAACCTTTCAGCGGATGCTCGGTCCGTGCACGTTTAACTGCAGGACGCAACACTTCTTGGGTTAAATAAAGTATCCGCTTTGACTTTAAACATTCAGTAGTAGTTATTTTTTTCCGTCTCAACAGTGACCTCTGGGCGACGTAACCGTAAGTCACCGCCGACGTGAATTACAATCTTACTGTATTTACGTTTATCCTTAGCCAGCAGTTTAAGATCAGACTCAATGTCGCCGGTGTTACGTGCCTACTGGTTTTTGAACCTACTGGTTTGTCTACGCGTGCGTGTTTGTTTTCCCCCTACAGCGGCAGATGTTGTCCGCCTCAGTCACCTGATTCGTCACACATTCGCAAACATATTGCTGAAAATTTTCAAAAATCATCACATATCCATTGCAGCGATTACGATCGTATAAGTGAGCACTACGTCACTGCCACGTGTGAAGAAATACATTGAAGAAAATAAATTTATTAAAAGATCGCCGCAACCTGGATTCGATCCCCCCCCACGTCCATTTCTTCATTTTGTGGATAGAACATTACTAATATTTCATCCTTCTGTGCTTAGTGTTAATAATTATTGAGTATTTTCACAGTATAAAGCATCACGAAAAAGCACTGATAAAGTGTTCAACGATACGCCATCAAAAACCAGTTGTCTTGCTTCCCTCTGAACCAAGAGGTTTACAACTGTATACAGTTTAATAAAATAATAAGGACATTTTAGACGTCAATTATCAAGCTCGAGTGGCTGGCTGCTTAGAGCAAACGTCCCGAAACATTGTTGTTTTGTTCGACACGGTTCGAATCCAGGTTGTGGCGATCTTTCATTAAAATATATTTTAATCTATATTTTCTTAAATGACGTTCTTAAGTGGCTGTGATGCACAATGACCGTCCGAACAGAATCCCCCCTTTTGTCCAAATGTGTCGGTGGTGGAAGCTGCAGCCTCGCGAAAAAGTATCGATACACATGTTTGGGAGAGTTGAACGATACGCCACCAAAACCAGTTGTCTTGGTTCCCTCTGAACCAAATGGTTTTCTAGCCACTGCCGATGTACAATGTGATGCCAAGTACAGGAAACAGCGGCGACACCAGTGAGCTCGAGTGGCCGACGGCGTAGCGCGTCCGTCTTGTAACGTTTTGTCATTTTGCTCGCGGGGGATCGAATCCAGGTTGCGGCGATCTTTTAATAAATCTATTTTCTTCAATGTATTTCTTCACACGTGGCAGTGACGTAGTGCTCACTTATACGATCGTAATCGCTGCAATGGATATGTGATGACTTTTGAACATTTTCAGCAATATGTTTGCGAATGTGTGACGAATCAGGTGACTGAGGCGGACAACATCTGCCGCTGTAGAGGGGAAACAAACACGCACGCGTAGACAAACCAGTAGGTTCAAAAACCAGTAGGCACGTAACACCTGGGGACGGCTAGCAGGAGCGAACGCCACGTCTACGTGGCCCTACGGGGGTGGGCAGGCTAACTGCTGCGGCTAACATATCCATTTCTTACTGTTCATATTTCATATCTATTTCTTACTGTACATATATAGTTATTCACTTATTACACTTTACATATGCACATACTCTGCACTTTTTGCTATTTTGCAATTCTGGTTGGATGCTAAACTGCATTTCGTTGCCTCAGTACTTGTACTCTGTGCAATGACAATAAAGTTGGAATCTAATCTAATCTAACGACTGAGCTTCCATGGTGCAGAGACGTGCTTCTAACTCACTGAGCCTCACCTCCAACCGATCAAATATACTACACTTGCATGTACCATTGTCCGCAAGGGGCTACGGATAATGGTACATGTAAGAAATGAGAGAGGAAGTTGTAGTAATAGGAAGTGTAGAGGTATGTTAAACCATATGTGATACACAAGAGAATCAATCGGATTTTTACTTGGGTCGTCTCGGGGGCAGCTAGCCGGAGCTTACCCTAGGTCTGTGTTCTGGGGCTGCTACCCGAGCTACGCTATGTCTAGTGATGGAGCTAGCTACAGGAGCTACCCTATGTCTGGGTGATGGGGCTAGCTACAGGAGCTAACACTAGGTCTGGGTGAGGGGGCTAGCTACAGGAGCTACCGCTATGTCTGGGTGTGGGGGGCTAGCTACAGGAGCTACCGCTATGTCTGGGTGTGGGGGGCTGGCTACAGGAGCTAACGCTATGTCTGGGTGAGGGGGGCTAGCTACAGGAGCTAACGCTATGTCTGGGTGTGGGGGGCTAGCTACAGGAGCTAACACTAGGTCTGGGTGTGGGGGGCTGGCTACAGGAGCTACCGCTATGTCTGGGTGTGGGGGGCTAGCTACAGGAGCTAACACTAGGTCTGGGTGT